ACCCCCCCCCTGTAGGCTGCTTCGTCCCCACCATTGATGCAACCTATCACTGCAGTGTCGTCCGCAAACTTCAGGATGATTTTGTCTTTGTGGGAGGCGACACAGTCGTGGGTGAACAGGGTGTAGAGGATGGGACTGAGGACACATCCCTGTGGGGTGCCAGTGTTTGTAACAATGCTGGCTGAAGTCCTATTGCCAATATTCTGGGGCCAGGAAGTGTTAAAGATGACACCCAGGTTCCTACAATGTGGGGTTAAAAAAAAAAAAAAAGAGAGAGAGAAATGCCAGACAGTGCTGCAGGTCATAAGAATGGGGGGACAGTGGTGTGGTGGGTAGAGCAGTCGTCTCCCAACCAGAAGGTTGAAGGTTCGAATCTTGGTGCCTGCAGTCCACGTGTCTTTGGGCAAGACACTAAACACCCCCGTTGCCCCCGATGGTTAGACCCATCAGTTGAGGTGGCGCCGGAGATGGCTGCCATCGGTTCTGTACCGGAAACAAATTCCTTGTGTGTAAAATACTTGGCCAATAAAGGTGATTATCCTTATCCTTAATTGACTTTCTTGAAAAGTGCTGTCACACATGATGTCCAGAAGAGATCTTCTGTGATCTGTACTCCCAGAAACTTTGTGCTGCTGACCCTCTCGGAATTGGATGAGGCAGTCAAGTCATGTGCCCACAGCATCAACAGAAGTAGGCTAAGCACACAGCCCTGGGGAGTACCGGTGCTCACACTAGTGGTTCAGGAGGTGCAGCTGTCTAGGTAGACTGACTGTGGCCTACCACTGAGGAAGTCCAGCACCCAGGTGCGGAGGCTTGCCTGTGTCTTCATAATTCCGGTGTTGTGCTATGATTTTGTTGAAGGCCAAGATAAAGTCAACAAAAAAAGAAAAAAAGCATCCTGGGACAACATTTCTTTTTTGAGCTATCCAGCACAGCCTTTGATGGTACACCTGGGGATTGTGTGTGTGGTCCTGCTGCTTTGTGTGAGCTGACTCTGTAAAGAGTCTTTGTCACACTGTCTACAGTCGCATGCAGAACCTGGTCATCAGGGAGAGGGATAGTCTTCACTGCCTGCACATTAGAGTGAAGCACATTTCCACCTGTATTTTTTTATGTTAATTTTCAAACATTTAAAGTGTTTCTAATTCCAACCGCGACACCTCAGAAGCCTTGGTTTTTATGCATAATTCTGTCGCGTCAACAAATCCTAATTAGTAATGCTGGTTTAATAATGCTGAACACAAATTTCTATGATCTGGTTTTCCTCAGAATGTGATGATGGTCAGAAAATAAAGGTGAGACATATTTGGGAGCTGTATCATATTTTTTAATTTCAATTACTTCAGTGTCTTTCATTCATTTTCCAAAACTGGTTCAGGACTTAGATCATATGGACAGCTGTGACCCACAGGACCATGGTCACTACAGTCACCAAAGACAAATAGCTGCATGAATATGACAATAGAATAAACCAAAGTAAATCTGTGTAAATGTTGCCGTTAAAAACATTTAATCTGACAGTTGTGAAGTGAAAACATATTTACCTGTCGACAGCTGCCTGCAGAGCACTGATCCTTGTCTGCATCATCTGAAGGACCCCTGGAAACAACATCTTTTCCCTTCAGTACATTTTGACACAGATTTAAAGAGCTACTTTAGTAGCAGACTTCAGAGGAATGCTGACCCCCCTCTAGTGGTGAAACGCAAAACTACATTAGTTGAAGTGAGTTTAAAACCAGGTCAATTGCACATAATTATCCAAATATCATTAGCTGATTGTACTGTTGACAGGGCAGGCTGATTTAAAAAGTCGTCATATCAAATCAAATGTTATTTGTATAGCGCCAAATCACAACAAAAGTCATCTCAGGACACTTTACAAAGTAAGGTCTAGACCTTACTCTTACCATTATTATTACAGAGGGAAAACCCAACAAATCCCCCCTTGAGCAAGCACTTGGCGACAGTGGGGAGGAAAAACTTGTCATATGCACGCATATGGTGGGAAGGTCTGACAACTGAGAATTGACCGTTGCTTTCTAAACATTATGACACAGGTAACATAAATGCCGTCATAAAATCAAACCTCAAGGGCAAATAACGTGGACACTGTGGACACTGTCAGAAAGGTAATGTCAATGTGGTTGACCTTGAGGTGGTCTACTATTAAATAGGCTAAAAATCATATTATTGTAATGTAAGATTCTGGCAGACTGTTCACCTCAACCAGTACCATCATCATGCTACCATAATAATGATAACTGACCAAAACAAGCATGCTGCTGAGTGCAACTGTCTAATTCAGATACTCAATGACTGGACCACTACTTGGAACCAATCTGCAACCCAACCACCAAGATGTAATCTGACAAGAACTAACTGTCCACTCCATCCCTAAACCTGCCACCAACTCTGAAGACCAGATGATGTAATAAATGCGTGTTGTTCAATTTAGCTTCTTCTCACTGCTCAGCATTGACCCTGTGTATAATCAACACTGCAACATAACCCTTACTGTGGATTATAATAGATTTACTTATCTCAACCAAATCACAAGTGTTTGATTTGGGAAAATGAACTGAAATCAATGAATAAACAAACATTCTAAGGTGCATGTGCATTTCTCACATTCTGTTCTTGTCAGTATAATGAGAACATATGGGAAAGTGGTTCTTTACCTTCAAGAGACTCTATCCCAGTTGCCTGAGCCAGCAAGTCTTCATGTCTGGCCACAACCTGGAAGAATGGAATGTAATATAAATCAGTGGATGGGGATCCCAGTGTGTTTGCCACTGTTCCCTGTGTGACACTGTTGTAAGCAAGTTTCAGGTTTATGCTTGATGCTCAGTGTGAAATGGAATAAACTTTATGAATTGCTGACTGGAAGGTAGAAAATCAGTCCAAATATATATTTATAAAGGGCTTAGGAAATCCCCAGCAATAACTGAATGACCTATTAAAATAAAACTTATGTTTGACATGTGGGTTGTAGTGGTGGTGTTGAAGAAAATGGTCATTCGTGAATTTTCTGTTTGCTATAATAAACCAGGATATAGTTGCTAATTTAGAGAGTACCACTCTCATAAGCACCCGAACTGAATCACAAATTAATATAAACTCTGCTCATTATTTTAACACTAATTTAGAGACAGGAAATTCATAAAAATGCAAAAGAAGCCGTTTTCCTCACTATAAACCTTGATTAATTTTGAAGCACGATTAAGATATAAATTGTTGTATTCAGTATATTGTGTCCATTTCCCAAAGTCCAACACTCTCAAATCAAAAATGATTCATTTATATTTACTATCATAAAAGACTGTGTAAACCAAAAAAATATTCACATTTGAGGTTGGGATAAGAGAGCTGGGGAATTTTTTCTGAAATGTGTTGTACATTCTAAATGTGCATAATGTGCATTAATAAGACTAGACTTGAAAAGTCCTGAAAAGTCTAACCTTTTACATATTATTTTAACAAACAGGCCTCAAAATTTTTAATCAAGTGGCATCTTTCCACTTGATTTTAACAATCACTGTTCTATAGCTTGTATCAAGAAAGAAACCCCAGAAAGCCAAGCCAAGATTTGTGGTTAGGAGACGCTTTAAACCCTGTACAGAACAGGCTTTTTAAAATGATCTGTACTACAGTAATATTGCACTTACCCTGACACACTGACTGACATTGTGCACTAAACTACTTTATTAAAGTTTTTAAGGAAACTGCAGATAAACATGCTCCTGTTAAAAACCAGAGAATCAAAAACAGGAATAATCCCTGGTTTTCAGCTGAATTAGTGGAAATGCTACATACTAGAAATAAAGCCTGGAAAAGAGCATGCATGTCTAAATCCGCCGTTGGCAAAATTTTCCTCGTTTAAGAAACAATACAATTAGCAATACAAAAAACTAAATCATCTATCTATCAGTGTGATGGTAATGCAGCAAGGTTCTGGAAAATTATTAGATCAATGTCATCAAATCTGCTTCATTCCTACCTGACCATTTACCTGTGGTGAAGTCCTAAATGCTCTTTATTCTATCGACCCAAAAATGGCCGTCGGGGTAGATCAGCTGCATTCAGGTTTTTGGCAGCTACCTGCACCACTTATTTAGGGATTTATTATTCATATTTTTAATTTGACTTTATTCACAGAAAGCATTCCTATTCCGTGGAAGACTGCCTATGTTGTACCACTGCTTAAAGGGAGACCCTCAAATGAACTCAATAATTTTCACCCTATATCTAACTCCTCCTGCCTCACTAAAATATTGGAAAGACTTGTTAATAATCAGGTAAAGAATTTAACTAGTAATTTTATTCTGAATCCATATCAATCTGGCTTTAGACCTGGTCATAGTGCTGTGACAGCAGTCTCAAAGGTTGTTGGTGATATTGCACAGGCTGTGCTGCTCTTTTTCTTGATTTATCCATAGCTTCTGATTCTGTGGATCACAACATTCAATGTTGGATTTGATTAGAACACATCTATTGTTTTAGAAATTATTTGTCTGACAGATCACAACCTGTTGTAGTAAATTGTTTTAAGTCTGATTTTATGGGTATTCTTAGAGGAGTCCTGCAAGAATCCATTTTGAGCCACACTTTATTCACTAATTTTATTAATGATCTAGAATCCAAAGTAATTAGCAGTACTATGCATTTACATACAGATGTCATTTATAGTGTGTCCCCCTCCATCAATCAGGCTTTTCAGCTTTTGCAGTCTGATTTTAACATTTTTCAACATCATCTTCTTGGTTTTAAACTAACATTAAACTCTTGTAAAATGAAGTATACGATTTTTACTAGAAACCAATGTCAATTTGATCATTTAAACATAGCTACACTGAACGGTGCTGTCATTGACAAAGTCTCTGATATAAACATCTTGGCTTTTGGTTAGACAATCAGCTAAGTTTTAAATTGCATATTGAGAAGATAACTGTTTCTGCCTAGACTGCTTAAGCCTAGACTTTAAATTCTATAAAGAAACTGATTTTGTTTTAAGGAGTGCCGCAGGAGGCAGATGATACAAACAACATTTTATCTGTATTAGACTATGCCAATATAATTTATAGGTATGCCTCTGCCAAAACTTGACTCAGTGTATCATGCTGCTATTAGATTTGTCACTGTCCCTTTAGGACTCAGTAGGTTGGCCATCTTTGACACTTAAAAGAGAGCAGCACAGTAAGCTATTTATCTATAAAGCCCTACTTAATAAGTTGCCTGAATATATTACATGCCGCCTGAGTTATAAATCATCAACGTACCAGACCTGTTCACAAGATTATCTTGTTCTACAGCCATTTATTGCCAATACAGAAGTCTGAAAGATGTCCTTCTGTGCAGAAAAACTAGCAGAAAAAAACTAAACTGGCTATGCCCATTCCTCTATCTCAATTTAAACTGCTTTTATATATTAATCGTGGTCTAATCATAAAAAAGGATTTAAACTTCAGTGGCCTTATCAAAGCTGTAACAAAATCATCATTCTGGCATTGTAAAAACAGCTAAAATGAACTGAACCAGTGATCCTTTATGTGGGAGGCAAAATCTTTCAGCATCAAGTTATTGCAACATTCTATAAAAAATCTGGCTTGGTATTTGTTGTATAATTTCTGTTTATATTATTTGCAGCACATTAATTTACTGGTAGATGGCAACATGGCTGCACACACTTCTGAATGCACACACTTCTATTTAAAATTTTGAGTAATTAACCTTTTTTTTAATCTATCTCTACAAAACCTGATCTTTAAGACCCTGCAGTTAGTAATTGCGGCTCTGTTGTGGTGCATCTCGGTTTATACCTGGCTGTGCAGCTCCTTGTCCAGCTGACTGATGCCCTGTGCCAACTTGGCCAGCTGTTCTGCGATGACCGCATGGTGAATAGCCTGAGCAGTGTAGGTCTTCACATCAAAGTCGTCTGCCAGGAAATCAGCGTAGCACTCTGCAAACACAGCAGCTCACCCTCAAACCTCTCACTACATTAACTCTCATAACAGTTCAGATCCTTCCTGGATATTAGGCTGCGACGTGCTTATCCATTTCTAGCTCTGTAAAGCCTTCGGCCCGTTTCTCTTATTTCATGGCAGTAAGCTGAGCCGGACCTCTCTACAGACTGGACCTTGAGTGGTACAGACTGAGCTGTACACTGTCTGCTGTCTCGCGTTTGCATCTTTCTTGCTGAGCTTCACTTTCTTAGTTTCTGTAACGAGTGTAATTTATCAACAATAGTACAAGTGAGCAGTGTGGAAATGTATTAACGTTACCAGCTTAAAACAACTCTTCCGTAAATCAGACGTCATTAAAAAATAAAATAAGAAATGTAACTTAACTAACAGGTTGTTAACATTAGCTACCTAACGTAAAGTTACTAAAGTGCTGTGCAGTGACATCAGCTAGCTGAGGGAAGAATGTGGAACCTTTACACAGCTGTAAACATGTTGTATATAACGTTTTGCTATCAACTAAATGCTGTAACACTATACATCAACCTTACAATTCATAAAACAGATTTTACCATCATTCAGAAGAGAATTCGTGGAAGCCTCTCTCCCGTCCTCCATGTTGATAGTTCCGCGTGTGACGTCACAATCAGTGACGTGTGACATGTGTTAAAGCGGTACACACATGCCACAACCTCCAGGATTGTAGCTGGGCTGAAAGACAGGCAGACGAATAAAAGAAATCTAAGGTTCACTGAATAATCTGCCAGGTATTTTCTTGATCTAGTGGTTAAGGCGCAGCGCTTTCACCGCTGCGACGCGGGTTCGAATCAGGGTTTCGTCAGGAAGGGCATCCGGCGTAAAACACGTGCCAAATGTCAACATGCGAGTCGTCAGTGTGACGATTCGCTGTGGCGACCCCTAAACGGGAAAAGCCGAAAGTGACTTTCTTTATATGAATAATGATTTTATTCACAGAATGTAAAACATGAGCAAAAATGCCCATTTTGACTTTCTAGAGTCAAACGTGGTGTCTTCAAATGTCTATCTTTGTACAACTAACAAATCCAAAGATTTCCACCTTATTATCATGTATGACAAAAAATAAAATAAAACATTAATTCCTCACAATAAGGAAGATGTATCTGTCTTGATGAGTGTAGTGGGGGTGGGATTCTAAATGGGTTTTTGCATTATAGGAACTGAAAGATATTTCCCAGCTCTTTTAACCAGGAACTCACAGAGACGAAGCGGACCACTTGGATATATTAAAAAAAAACGTGCTGGTTTTCTCAAAGAATCACAGGTAAAATTAACATTACACGTCCAGGCATCTTCCATCTCCAATACTGCGCGCAGGCAGATGAAGAATAAAAGACCCCGAACCCATACAGCCCTGTACATTATATCTGGTTTGGGCTAACCCCATTCTACACAGGCACGTCAAACCGTGACGTCACCTGATATGTCAGCTATGCAGCTGACCAGAGCAGTAGTCAAAACATGGAGAAAATCAATGTGTGTGAGTGTTGATTATGTGGTGTGTATCTAAGAACATACAGGACATTCAGGGACATGTCCGGACATTAAGCCTAGGACGATATTATGATTAAGATTACGGCTAAACATATCATACAATAGCCACTTTCTATCTAGTTATCCTGGAACATAAACAACCTTGAGTAACTCCTGGAAATGAGTAAGCATTTAACAGCCTGAGCTAGACATCCTGTCTCCACTAAACATTTCTAATACAACAAATATCTAACTAATATCTATCTGACTAAAAAATTACCTAACAGAACCTACCAAAACCTATCCAACCCAGTAACGCTTGTCACAGATGCTGTGTTTGTTTCTGCTATTGTTCCCTGTTTTGGAGGTGCGTTCTGGGAGGTTAATTTCATCGTCCCTTAGGAGGTAGTACCAAAATCATGTTCCAAGAATGCGAATGGGGAGGGGGTCCATGCGGGCAGAACAGTTTCCCATGATTGGCTAAATGTCCCCTCTTCACACCTCAGTCATTGGCATTAGCACAGTGTGTAAAGAGGGACTTACACTGGTTTAAATGTTAAAGATGACTTCACTGGCCGGTTTAGAGGCAAAACGGGGCCCTCACTGGGTGGACCACTGGCAAAACGGTGAAGACCACAGTTCTGCTAGTCTGCGTTCTGCTTGTTCAACAGCTGTTTGATAAATTGCTCATACAGTCTCCCTTACTGACTGATTGTTGCACTATGGAGCACATCCTCTGTTCTCCATCTGCTCAGCTGTGAGTGCATGTGTGAGAGAGACTAACAGAGAGAAAATACAGTGGAAAAACAAAGTAGGACGCTCATGTTAGACTATAGACTAATGTATATTAGATACTGTATTTGTAGAGAGCAGTATTACACCTAGTTGCATCTGCCTTGAATTACAGAAGACAAAGAAGTAGGATGGTCCACATCAAACTGGGAGGTTATCCAGAGCAAGGTTTGTTGTTTCTTAGGTACTACATCACTTAAGTGCCCACTTAAGTGCTACATTAGAGCTGTTTGATAGGAGCTAGTGACATTAATACACCACTAAAAGAGTCACAGAAGATAAACACAGAAAATAATGCTCTCAAAATCAGAGTAGAAAAACTTAAGGTAAATATAGCAGTGGAGTTAGGCTTGACAGAGCAGGCAACAATACTAACAGTTCTTAGATACAAGTAGTTTTTAGATCAATGCTGAACCACAACACAGTTAATCCAATTCAAGATGACCCAGCGGCTTATGTGGAAGAAGCAAGGGCTGGTGTAGCGATAGCTGTAGCCTGGAGTCCTTCTGTGAAGAAACTTTCAGCTGAGGTAGCCCCAGGGAGATATTCCCACAGAGCAGCGATTACTGGATGCAACTCTGTGGGAGCATTCAGCTTGCAGCTGACATGGAGAACATCAGGGGTGTCTATAATGGCATCAAGAAGGCTATAGGACGAACACACAGCAAGACTGCATCACTCAAATCAGCTAGCAGTGATTTCTCATTGTTGAGAAGAGCAAACAGATGGAGAGGTGGGTGGAGCACTTTTCTGACTTATACAGCAGGGAGAATGCCATCCTTGTCTGTCATGTAAGAGCTGGAACAAATGCCAAGCCTGGAGGAGCTCAGCAAAGCCATCGACAGTCTACCCACAGGCAAAGCCCCAGGTCTGGATGGTATCTCAGCAGAAGTCAATAAAAGTGCAAAGGGCCCACTCCTTGAACACCTGCATGCACTGCTCTGCCAGTGTTGGGAAGAGGAGGAGGTCCCCCAGGGCATGAAAGACTGACATCATCACCCTATACAGAAACAAAGGAGATTGCAGTAACTGCAACAACTACAGGGGAATCTCCTTGCTCAGCATCGTTGGGAAAGTATTTACCTGGGTGGTTCTGAACAAACTACAGAAGCTGTCTGACAGGGTTTACCCGGAGATGCAGTGGCGCTTCAGGTCCACAGTGCACATGATATTTTCCCTATGACAACTCCAGGAGAAGTGCAAAGAACAGAAGCAGTCACTCTACATCACCTTCACCACGACAGCCTCTTCAAAGTCCTCGCAAGAATTGACTGCTCCCAGGAGCTCCTGAGTATGGTTAAGTCCTTCCACACGGGTATGAAGGGGTTTGTCCAATTTGACGGGTCCTCATCAGCTCCATTCGAGGTAAAGAGCGGAGTTAAGCAGGGGTGTGTGCTTGCCCCCACCCTCTTTGGCATCTACTTTGCAGTCATACTGAAGTACGCCTTCAGAGCATCTGCTGATAGGATCTACCTTCACACCCGGTTGGATAGCAAATTCTACAGTCTGTCAGGATAAAGGCAAAAACCAACATCCATGAGGTCCTCATCAGAGACAGGCTGTTCGTAGATGATGCTGCCTTGACCACTCACAAGGAGGAACACCTGCAGAATCTTATGGACTGCTTCTCTGAAGATTTTTAGGTACACTCTACGGTCATATTTAATTTAATTTATTTAATTTTTTTTCTCTAACCTGTCTGTAAAACAGACTGTGGAGCGAGAGACAAGAAAAACTGCAGAAAGTAAAGCTCACACATTTATTATAGCATACTAACAGTTATACATTGAGGGAGTGAATATCCGTGTGTTCAGGAGAATGTGACAGCACCTAAGGACTAGTTAAACAGATATATCATCATAGATTAACACATATGAGTTAAAAGAGACTTCCAGGAACTTGTTAGTCCAGGACTTGGTCCCCATTTGACATTGCAGCCTTATACCATTGAAAATGTCCTGGAAAATTATTTTGTGAAAAGAGTGGGAACCCTGGTTAAAGCGATTTAACAAATCACAGATTTGAGTTTTTATTGCATTTTGGAAGATATCTCAACTTTTCTGGAAATGGGGTTTGTATTATTTTATATTTTAAAAACTTGTATTTATGATTTATTTAGAATCATTCTGCCTTATTTATCTGTAAAGCACTTTGAACTGCATGAGCCTGTATGTCAGGTGTTATATAAAGAAAGCTTGATGGACTGACTGATGTGATACATTTGTTTTAGTTTAATGTACAACACACTGACTTTGCATATATATAAAATGTGCTGTATTAATAACATTGATTTAAAATGTATTAATTCACTCATTACATAATTTTATGCTGGTGTGTGCTCAGTAGATTTCTTGCAAAAATAACTGTACATTTTGCACATTTCGCTGCTTCATTATCCAATGCCCATCTTGTATTTTTTTTTCCTGGCTTTTTCAGCTCTACCTTGCCTCAAAGCATCCAGCAATGCTTTTCATTGCTTTGGGCTGTACGGACCAGAGCGGGGGGATTCTATTGCCAGTAACAGAGCTATGAATGTGGAACTGGTGCTTATAGAGCAGGTTAACCAACCTAATAATCATCAAACTAGAGTTTTTTCTCTCTCTCTCTCTGACAGATGGGTCATGTTAGGGTGATTTTTATTTTTAGATAAAAATGAATAAAATTAGTTAGGGTTTTTTATTATATAGCATATATAGGTTTATATATTTTAATCTCACAGTTGTGTTTATGTTTATGTAGTTACATATTGTTAGGTATTTTTAGTCAGATAGA